GTTAAAATAATGGGTGGTTATTTTGTTCTAATCGTCGTCGTTGTTGTGGTAGTGGTTGTTGTTGTGGTTGTTGTGGGAAACCCACTCAAAACCCCCCGGGGGAATGACCCAGGACCTTTTTTTTTCCTTCCTGGGCCACTCCCCCAAAGATATCAAATGTTCTTCACCCCCTAGCCCCCCTTTGTTTCCCAATCCCGGGGAATCGGGTGCTCGCCCTTTTTCGGCCATGGGGGATTGTGGGCGTCTTCATAACCCTGGGGTTTTTTGGGTGTTTCTTTCCCTTTAAAAATACTCTTCTCCTTTTAATGAAAGTCGACCAATTTCCAATTGAAGGAAGTGGGATAGCTTGCCTTCAGAGATTAGAAGTCGAGATTTTTCCTTTTTAAAGAAGGGGGGTCCCCCGTTTTCAGAGGTAAAATAAGCGAAAAAATAGCTCCATTATGAAATTCACCCGGAGGGTATTCTTTTTGCGGGGGGCCCTTTTGGAAAACTTGCAGCCAGAGGGGATTCTCCTCCCCCCCCCCTCCCCCCCCCCCCCCACCACCCACACCTTTTTCACGTCTGGCCCCAACTTGGGGAGCAGCAGGTTTCATTTACAGGAAAAGCGTTGCGAGCGACAGAGTAGAGTAACCAACCTCCCACCTCCCTTTTTTAAGGCGAGTCCCCTCCAAGCCCCCCCCCCCCCAAAAGGTTGGTGACTGAACTTTAACGCAGAACTAAAATTTCTTCCACCTTCAGTCACCAAAAACCCTCACTCGGTGTGTGTGCTCCCTTGCACACGATACAAAAGGAGAAGTTGAATCGTAGAAGGTGTCATTTTTATATATTATTATGACAGACATTCTTTCTCTTCTAAAAAGACTTGCTCCATTAAATGATGACATTGACCATCACACTTACTACAACGTTGGTATATTTTGTGAAGGTAGCGTGGTGGAATCAGGCTCTCGTCAAAACAATCAAAGTGAAGAAACTTGCCTTTTTCCTCAGGTTTGTGAATTTTTATCAAATCTTTGTTTTTTTGGCTCGACACCGTACATGCCCATTAAGGAACTATTTCTGTGTGGATATTTTTCTGAAAAACGTTGATTAAAAGCACAAAAAATTTTAATTTTCTGTTACCACCGACTCTTAAGCTAAGGAAATAACTAATCTTTGGCGGCCATTTTCTCACTAGTTTTACCTCTGAAAACAAGTAACCCCTCCTCCTTCATTCGCAAATATCTCGACCTGTATTCAAGATAAATGGATATTTTTTTCATCCAAATAAAGACAAGTGAACAAGCTTTAAGATGATACCAATAACTCTACATGCTTTTGAGTACTATTTGTGACTGAATTGTTTACAAATCTATTGAAAATATCAACAGAAGATTCGGCTGTTCATTGAAGCCAATAACAATTTCTTTTCATTTGATATTCAATACATGTCCATTCCACAAAAGTTGATGCTCCTCAATACATGCGCGAAAACCTTTTTACGCTTCGCACAATTCTGCCAAGCCCGATCTTTTTAGGTCAATTTTGAATTACCATGGCTTAGGCGTCTTTTAAGATTGAAGAATTGTAAATACGTCAGATGATGCAGAATGCATTGAGATCAAGCTTTATTTAATAGGTATGCTGCTTGAGTGGGTAGTGCAAGGCTTTATCAAGATGATTCGGTTACGACATTTTCAAGTTTCTTTTGGACGCCAAAAGAGAGCGAGAGAGAGAGAGAGAGAGAGAGAGAGAGAGAGAGAGAGAGAGAGAGAGAGAGAGAGTGTGTGTGTGTGTGTGTATATGTGTGTGTGTGTGTGTCTGTGTGTGTGTGTGTGTGTGTTTGTGTGTGTGTCTGTGTCTATAGTTTGTGTTTTTTGGGTTTTTTGTTTTTTGGTTGGTTGGAGTGGGAGAGGAGGGGGGGGGGCTGTCAGTTTTATTTGAGGGTTTTGTTGTTGTTGTTGCTTTGTTGATGGGTTTTTTTTGGGGGGGTAACAAAGTTTGCAGATATAAAGTGTGTCACTGTGTGTATTATGTGTTGTTGTAAGTACGATAATAAATATTTCTATTTTAATTGGCGGAAACTTGAGCACTTTACCATATTATATGACATCATCATCATCATCATCATCATCATCATCATCATCATCATCATCATCATCAATTATGTCAGAGATAGTCTGGTGTATAAACTAGTGGATAGAACGATGAAGACAGTAACAGAAACGCTGACCATCAGGATAAGAATGACAAGAAAAAATTCGATAACTGCCTCTAATGTCTACTGCCCATCCAAACACAGCACAGGTCAAACCATCCAGCTTGATTTGAACATCATCCCAGTGTCGCCATCAAGCATCATCTGCGGTGACATCAATGCGCCTTCCCCAATCTGGGATGAGATTCAGTCAGAGGAGGCACGAGGAGAAGATGTAGTTGAAAGGGCGGGTCATAAATCGCTTGGCGTCCTGAATAATGGTTCTATCACCCGAATCAACAAAACAACTGAGGCTGGCAGCTCGCCAGATGTCACGCTATGTGCAAGTGTCAAGAAGAGCAAATGTGCATTGTCGGTGGATGGATCTCTGTGGTTCTGATCATTGTGCAATCATCATTGTAGTGAACAGTGCAATTAAACATCAGTCAATCTTTGCAAAGGCGCCACGCTGGAGAAGCAATGGAATGAATTGGCCAGACTTTCGAAATGAGATTAAAAGCGAGATGGATAACTAGCCAGAAACTGACATTCTGAATCCGCGAGTCAAACGTTTCAATGACGTCTCACTTGAAGCAGCGTATGCCCTTTTCATGAAGGTGAAGCCGTCCAAGAAACCACGCTTGGATAACTCCCAAGTGTCGTGGACTAATCAAGAAAAGAAACCAGCTAAGAAAATAATCTCCACACACAGGGAGGGATAGTTACAAGCTTGCAAGGATGTTTCAGAAGCTGTCCAAGAAGCAAAGACTGACCAGTGGAAGGAGGTAGTTAATGGCGTGATAAATGATCTGGACAAAAGGAAAATTTGGAGTTTCATCAGGTCTCTAAATGGATCACCAGAAACCAACTCTTCCAAACGAAGTACTGAAACACAACGGTAAAAGGATAATATCAGCAAAAAAGAAAGCAGAGTTTTCTGCCCAGCATTATGCAAAAATCAGAAAGCTCCAATTTATCAAAGAGGAGCGCAGATGAAACAAACTCCGATTGAAGCGCTCACTGCATGATGATGTGAACAGCGAAGATTTGCAACAATCATACCCAGACTTCATCATGAAAGCGCTGAAGCGTGCCATAACACAAATGAAGAGTGGAAGTGCTCCAGGACCTGATGATATACCACCATCTTTCCTAAATGAGCATGAATTCTCAGCATAATAATATGTAATCTGTTCACATCGTCGCTGTTCACATCGTCATACAGTGAGCGTTTCAATCGGAGTTTGTAATCTGTTGCTTAACTAAGCAGCGTGCCCACAATGCAGGCATATGGCACTTATCGTTCCTCTCTTGATATCTGGCAAGTCACCTAGTGATATGACATCCTTTGGACCCATTAGTTTGATATCATGTGTCGTGAAAGTTGTAGAAAGGATGCATGCTGAAAGAATGTACTACCTGTCAGAGAAGAATGAGTGGATTGCAGATATTCTGGCATGCTTTCGCTAAGGTCATAGCTGCACCGACCAGATCATCAGAATATGCCAGGAATTGAGGATGGTTTTCAACAAAAGCCAACATTCCATCAATCAGTCCTAGTCCTGCTGGACTACTTAACTCCAAAGCATATAATACGGTTTGGCTAGAAAGACTATTACTGTCAATGGCTGAGAAGGGAGTTCCGTTGCGTGCAATTTAATGGATCCATGGTTTCTTGAGAAACAGACAAGTCCACTTTCGCCTGAATGGAGAAACAAGCAAAAGCCAGAATTTCGAACAAGGGCTTCCCTAAGAAGCTGTACTATCGCAGCTGCTGTTTATTTTCTTCATAAACAACCTTGGAGAATCCCTCCCAAACCCTGAATCACAAAACCTAACTTCCGCAAAGCTGATCTACTACATGTCCGCTGATGACTGCACAATACTGGCCAGTCGTGCAAAGAGATAAAAAGCAAATTAAGCGACACAGTAGATTGTGGACATGATTGTGAAATGGAGCAATGATTGAAAACTTACCTTGAATGCAACCAAGAGTGAGGCGTGCTTCTTCTCGACAAGAATGAAGGAGGCAACGTGGCAACCAATAATTTAGATCGAAG